CCGCGATGCAAGCTACTTGACGACACGTATCTGGCAACGCGTGATTCGTAGCAAGCTCCCAGATGCCCGTCGCTATTGGCGCGTGGACGACATTGACCGCACTGGTAGGCGAATGCACCATAAATGTTGCAATCTAAAATTTTATGGACACGGCGCGAGAGAAAAGAGAAGGAAGGAAACAGGTGCAGCCGCTGGGAAACCGGGCACTCGTTGTATGTTTAAGCTGCTACACACCAGCACTGCGCTCTCGTGGCTGGTAGCACGACAAGGGCCTTATCCATAAATTAGACTTCAAATTTGTATTAACCAAGTAATTGCAACCCGACAAACTCTAGACCTACCCCTCTGAGCCTTTTTTTACCAATCAGATGGCTAAGAAATGATATAATCAATATGACTGGCGGAGACTTCTGGTTTCTGCACATTCATTGGACGCGACTTCTAATTTCCTGGCGAGAGTCTCAGTGCCTCAGAGCCACACAGAGATGGAAGAGCGCACGCGCAACGTCCGAGCGCGAGTCCGAGCGGATCGACCGGGCCCGAAGACTCGGGTCGTAGCACCGAATGGAGTTCCGGTCTGCATCCTCTGCGGCATCCGCCGGCAGCACACGGTGCACTGCCCGTACGCCCCGCGATCGCCGTCGTCTCGCATCCAAGTCGCACCTCTTTCGGCGGCATCCGCGACGCCTTGACGACGATGCAAACGGCGCGCAAGGGCTTTTCATCCACTGTCAGCTCCCAACCGGCTGCGCTTGATACTGCTGCTGTACAGCGCGCTCAGCGTCTACCAGACCAAGGCTCTGTGGACGTGTGTCTCTGCGATGTGGCTCACATGCAGTCAAGTCAACTCATCGACGTTGAAGTAAACCGCGCGACTACTTGCAACACACAAGTACGTCCCCCGACGACTCGGTGCAAGAAGCGCAAGCGCGATGACAAGAACATGCCCCGGCGTCAAGTCACCCTCAACAACTCGACAAGTTGGCCGCCACGTGCGAAGTCGACCTCTACACGCGGTACCGATTGGACCGAGCGTGCAAGAAGGCATGCGACAGGACGTGTCCTCATCTTGTCGTCGCGAAGGTAGGCAAGCAATCATACCCGCCGTGTGCGAGAAGATGTGGTTGGCGGCAGGATCGAGATGCACAACGCCTGCAAAGCACATTATAAGCTACCATAGTCATATATCGTATTCATCAGTCAATATATAAAGCTTTGCACAATCATCATGCAAGATTCGAGCACAGGTTGGTCGGAACTGATGACTGCGACGCGCTGAGCACGTGAGCAAGAGCCGCGGCGCGCTTCCCGGCTGGACACGTTGCCTGCGTCATGCGTCACACTATTAAGGTTCCACCAATAGAAAGCAGCGATTTATGGCCCATATATGTCCCTCTCGCCCAATCAGATGATGCGACTTCTGTTTGGATGCAACACGTATGGAAGGTTCGCCCACTGGTATGCTCATGCGCCTTTCTAGAGCATAGTAATCTTTCGTATATGTGTAGTAATATAAACACTCGTCGCTGCTTCCGTCAACGGCCCTGTGGCGTTGCACTGGATCATATTTTATTTTCAAGGCCGACTACTGTCTGCGCTACGGGACCCACTTTGCAATCGCCGGCAAGATACTCGGCAAAACTCATCCTGGCCCGTCCCCTTGCTGGTCGTTGGTTCGTCTACGCCGTTTCGTGCTGAAAATACGCACCGTCGCGATAAGCACGAGTAGTGAGTGGAAGCCAAGTTGCCGTTGTGCGCATGACTGATCAGACGAGGAGGTCTGCTGTTCATGCATGAACGACGGCCTCGTGCGCCAAAATGCGTCGCTCGTCGAAACAAACTCTACTGTGCAGTGCTACCACAAGAACAAGAGAGCGCCTAAGAACATCGTCGTCCGTCTCAGAATGGAGTGGCTCTCCATCCCTAACGGCAAGGTAGTACGAGGCGAAGGGGTGCACAGTACGCAAATCAGACGCCAAATCATGAAGAACCTAGCGATGGTCAACAACGTCGCGCTCTCCTCTTCTTTTTGAAGAACAATTCTTTTCAAAGACAATGCCATTTGGGGTCTGACTACGAAATAGCGCTGGAATATACAGCTCGAATGTAAAATGGAGTAGCTTTACGCTCCATGCAGTCCCTTACCGCGGGTGCAATACATTGGAGACGACCGTATCCGCGGAGCGGGTGTCGATGTGGCACGCGTCGCAACCTCGAGCCGCACGCTCGCGCTGCCACGTCACAAATGAAACCGCCAAAACGGCGACCGTTTTGCTGTGAACCGGTCTACGTGGCGATCTTCGATCGCTCGAAAACGAATGTATCATTGCTAATTGACAGTTCGAGCGAGCTTGTGACTTGTGTGCACCCTTCATGATAGGACGACAGCCGGAATAATCTCGTCGTCGCACGTGTCTGGTCGCCACAGTGTCGACATCGGGACAGGCGGCACTGGATCGTTCGTGCACGTTTTCAATCATTAATATACGTATCAGATCAAATATAGTCAAATTTTTTCTTAGAGTCTTTGTGCACACATTCGCCTCTATTTCGCTTGCGTTACGAGCGCGGCGGTAGATTGTGGTAGTCGTTGCCAGTCACGCGGCCAGACGTCGTGGCGCGCGGTCGCTTGGTCAGTTTCGATTTGCGTTGACCCAAGTGGCAGAGCTGGAAGCGACCGACGCTGAATTGATACCCGGGCGCAAACCGGTCGACGGGATTCGTGCGGACCAAAAGCAGTGCGAGAAAGCCTACGGCCGAGCCAATACTAAAGAGCGGCATCGCAGCCCCGTACGCAGCGACGGTCGACTGCGTCTTGATCGCGGCGTCAAAGAGGCTCGTGAACCCGAGGCCGCCGCCGACGCCCGCAATTGACCAGCACGTGAGGATGATGCCGTGGAGCGCGCCAATGTTATAAGCCCCAAACATATCGCAGAGGAAGCACGGGATCGTGCCAAAGCCGCCACCATAGACAAACGTGAGGAGCCAGACGAGCGTCTGGAAGAGGCCATGGTTCTTTTCTTCGAGCGTCGACTGCAACACGAGGGCGATGCCGCCTTGGACGGCCAAAATGACGAGAAAAATGAGCTTGCGGCCGTCGGCCGGGTGCACGTAGCAGCCGCGGATGAGCAGGTCCGAGACCATAGGCACCATGAGGCGACCGCCAAAGTTGAAGATGCCGTTGTAGCTGACCATGCGCTCGGCGCGGTTGACGTCGTCGGGCGTGAACGCGGAGACGTTGGCGCTAAAGACGTACAGATCTAAATCCTTGAGGCGCGAGATGAGCACAAGGCCAAACGAAATTTCGAGAAAAAACATGATCCAGAGCAAGGCAAACTCGGGCGACGTCACACACGCAGCGAGCGGCAGCTGCTTGATGCGATGAAAGTAAAAGAGCTCCGAGTCGTCGAGCTCCGACTCGCGGTAGTACTCGTGCGGGTGCGCGGTAGTCTCTTCCGCGATCGGCACCTCGAGGTCTTCTGGCACAAACAAAATGACGTTGCCGTTGGGCGCGCGCCGCGGTAGTCGGGCGTGTTCGTGGGCATCGACCGTGATCTTGATGCGGTCTTGGTGAACGCCATGCATGTCCTTGCCACGCACGGAGAAGCCCGGCGGCGGCGTCCGCATCACGATCGCGCAACCATACAGAATGAGGCTCATGCCCGCGCCAAACACCATGAACGAGAGGTACACGGGTGTTCTAATCATCATCGTCCAGCTAAATGCAAAATTTGAGAATGATTCTTACCCCCACACCTTGATCGGGTACGGGAAGAGGAGTGCCCAGAGCACGGGGCCGGCGCCAAAGCCACAGACTGCAAAGCCGCCGGCCGTGCCACGCAAGTCGGGAAACCATTTCTATCGACAATGAAACATTGAAACACTCTGAGTTTGCACCAACAGGTTACCTGGAGCGTGGCAACCGGCGAGATGTAGCAAATGCCAATGCCCGAGCCGACGACGCCGCCGTACATGACGTACACGAGCGCCATGCTCTTGTAGTAGATTCCGAGGCCAGCACCAATGTGTCCAAGCACGAAGAGCGTCGCGCCGACCGCGATCGCGAACCGCGGGCCCGTGCGCTCGAGCCACGGGCCGAGGATCGCGGCCGAGAGGCCGAGGGAGCCGCACGCGAGGTAGAAGGCGACGACCGCGTGGCCGGCGGTCGGGTCACCAAAGATGTAGTCGTCAATGTACGCGTTGTAAACCGACCACGCGTAGAGCGACCCGACGCAAAACTGCGTGACAAAGGCCGCGAAAAAGAGGTGCCAGCGGCTAAAGGCCACGCCGCGCGAGACGTAGTAGGTGTCGCACGCGAACGGCGACGGGAGGCAGAAGAGATAGCGCTCGGCGTCGATCTGCCGCGAGGACTTTGGCACGCGCTCGACGGTCCAGTGCGACTGGATCAGCGCGCACAAGCCCATGGCGCGGCGACTTGATTTGTGAGCCGCGTCACACTGCAAGTCGACTTCAACGAATCGCGTGGCGTGTCACGCTGCACCTTGCGCCCACAACCCGCTGACGACTGGCCACTGGCGGCTGTGTGGCGCTGCAACTTTGTCGGACAGCAGTGTTGGAGCAGGATACCGTCGGCCGAGCCCAGCGCCGGTGGCATCCGGCAAGCCCTGGCGACTGCGCGCAATAATGCACTGCGTAACGTTAGTTTGAAGGTACCACGACGGGTAGCCGACAGGCGCATGGGCTGACCGTGAGTGCATACCTATTGTGCGAGTTCGCACCGAGTCGGTGTTGTCAGCAACACCAAGCTGAGACCGCAAGACCAAGTCGCTCGTGCGCTATCTTGGCTGCTCTGATACACACGGCGACGCCACGATCGACAACAGAGGGGGCTGAGATCGATGGCTGCGGTCCGCGGGTGGCGACAGCCGCTTTGTTGTTCAATTGTCTGCAGCAGCTGTCTGCTGAGCTTTTTGCCGCTAGCCTATCGCCATATCCGAGTCTCTCAACTGTGTTGAGCTGCCATAGTAACCAATATTGTGCATGCATTGCCGGCGCGCCTTTGGTTTTGCGTCACTCTGCCATGTCACACGAGTGCGCTGCTGCGTACTACACGACCCGTAGCTCGGCAAGGGCCTAATATAATTGTACCCTGGGTAATAGTACCGTCCTCCACGATACGACGACAGCTGGCCTACATCCAGGCTGTCTTCTCGACACGGCTGCGATTGCTCCCGACGGTAAGGCGTCGAGTCGTACCGTGGCCAAGCGTGGCAACGACGCTTCCTTCAGAGCCAGATAGCACAGATTCGAGTCGATGCGGGAGGATGGAGCAGCCAGCAGCTGGAGCGAGCGCAGTGAGGTGTGTTTTTGCGTAGCGGCCATTTTGATGCATGAACATGCACCGTCAAGATAGCAATGACCACGGCTTGTACGTGGTGGAAGCATGAAGACAGCGCTCGTGCAAGACCCAGCAACACCAAGGATACCATGCGCCAAGTTGAAGCGCAATATCCGGATACACCTCGCCTATCCGGATGAAAGAGGTCACTGGCGGTTTGTACCAACGTGGGCAAGCCGGAAGATCGCAAGACGAGCATGCACTGCAGCGGCCGCGCGGACGAGCTCTCGCAGGCGCTGGGCGACATGGACATGCTCCTCCCGCCCTTCACGCTGGCCATGGACGCCAAGACAACGACGTGCCTCAAGCGCCACGAGCTGGCGGCGCTCGACGGCTACGTGCGCATCGGCCTCGGGTACGAACTGCCGACTGGTGCATGATGGCCTCATGGCCGCGCAGGCCCGAGTCGCCGACGCACGTGTTTCGGCGCGAGCACTACAAGCTCATCCTCAAGGCGCGCGACCTGGTCATGAGCATGAGCAAGGACCATTGCGAGGTCGTCTTTCGCCGAGGGAAGCTCTTTGCGACCAACTTGAGCCAAACGTCGACGACGCAGCTCAACAAGCGCCACAGTACGTCGTCGATGCTGCCTACGGGCATGATACCATTCCTTTGGCTAGTGGACGTTGGCACGCTATACGAGCTCCACGACGGCGCCGAGCTCTGCCTCTTTGGCTGGCTCTACTATACGGTCCAGGCCACGCGATACGAGCAAGACTTGATGGCCCAGCGGCCGATCATGCACGAGACCATGATCGCGTCCTACCTGACCGTATGCGATGATGCAATGCGCGATCTTATCCTGCATACACGTAGCATGTGCTCTTCATGAACCCGCTCATCACGCGCACGGCCAACGCACTCCTCTTCGGCGAGGTACCGTGTCTGTGAAGGACCACTGGTATATGACAATGCTAGCGACTGAGCTTCCAGAACGAATACCACGGGATTGCGTCGGGCCTTGCACTTGCCGAGGTGGCGTTGTGGTGCATGCTTGCATTTCGCGAGGTGCTGCTGTAGCACCCGTTTGTGGGTCTCAAGACGGGCTTTGCGACGCTCTTCAACTTGCACAAGGCGCTCGTCGACGGCTGCTGCGTCCTCCACTTGGCCGGCCACGGGCTCCCCGGTCAGCTCTTCTTTGAAGGCGAGGCCAGTCAGCCATTGATGGGCACCGCCGTTGACGCCGAGGCCCTTGACCAATGCCTCCAGCTGGCGCCGCCATGCGCGGTGTCTGGCGTCCAGCTCGCGCTGCTGCTCGTGTGCCATTCGGCGTCGATGGGTTCATATCTCTCGGTATGGATGCGTCTGGAGTCAATTGTCGGTGGTTAGCGGGCCCGTTTGTACGATATGGCATTCCACACGTGATTGCCGTGGACGCCCAGTCCAAGCTCCAAGACTGGGTCGCGCCAGTCTTTGCCCAGTGCGTTATGTCATCCGTACATCTCATGTCGACTACATAGATATGACGTAGGCGGCTGTACATGGAGCTCGGGACCGGGCAGTCGGTGCAAACCGCATTCGACCGGGCAATTGCAGCGGTCCGCAGCCACGACCTCAGCGGCGCCGAGGCGGTATCCCTCCTACGATACGCTCAACAACACTATGGTTACGTAGGAGAGCGAGAAGATTCTGCTCTTGCCGCCCAACGACGACCACCGCCACGTGCTCTTCCCGCCGCTGCGAGGTCGGGTTGCGACCCGAGAGCCCTTTCTCAAGCGGTTCCCGAGCCCGTTCCTGCACTTGCACGCAGCCGAGGTGCGTTTTCCTCGATTCGACAAAAATCAATTCGACGAAACTCATATTTCAACTATTTAGACGCTCGAATTTCGGCAAAAAGAGGCCGTTGTCGTACGTGTCCGCGTCCTGACACGGACGTCACAGTCACCCTATTAGGTCTCAACCTACCTCGCGCGGCCGCCGCACCACCCGTTCTTTACACGGCTCGTGGTCCTCACTGGTCCGGAAGGGGTCGGGAAGACGCATTTGGCCCGCGCTGTCGGCGACGACCTTGCGCTGCGCGGGTATTTCGACGGCGGTGTGCATGTCATCTACGTACAAGCGTTTGCTGACACACTGGACGCGACGGCCTTGGGCCCGGACGGCTGTTATGACGCGTATCCGACGGGCTAGAATTCGACTCGACCCTAACCCTGTAGGTGAATAGGGTCCAGGCCGAGGTCTCGGCGCGGCTCAAAGCGTTTGCAGGCGCACGCAAACAGCAGTGTCTCGTGCTGCTCGACGGCTGCGACGTGCTCATGCAGCGCCCACAGGACGCGGGACGCTTTTTCGATAGCATTCTCAGCAGCCAAACCGACTGGAAGCTGCTCGTGACCACGTCCGTTGCCAAGACGCCGCTGGAGCTTGGGTTTAGCGCGCAGTCGTATGCGCTGCAGCCATTCCCATACGAAGCGGGCGCGCAGCTGTTTGCAAAGCTCCTGGCGCGCGCTCGGTACCCGCTCTCGGTGTACCATCTGCTCGAGACGCCGGGTTTCGACTTGGAGGTGCACGCCGACGTCGACCTCTGGCGGGTCCTATCGACGCACCCAATCTCGCAGCACGTGCTTCGAGGGCTTCCTGGCACCATTGCGCGCGTCGTCGACGAGGTTGTCGCGACTCAAACGACCGTCGATGCCTGGTTCAAACGCTCGTTTGCACCCTAAGTAGTTCGTCAACCCATACTGTCATGTCCGAGCGACTAGAGTGGTGCTCGAATAACGTGAGTTCCTCATGCGTCTTTGACTCTGGGAGGGCTAGGGCTAGGGTTAGGGTATGTGAACGCGTCCGGTCTTGCTGACGGAGAGAAGCTTGATACGCGCAGTGTATCGCAGTCATTTCGAGTTACGATGGTGGTTTTGTGTAGCTATCTACCATTGTAGCGCTTGGTGTCGGCTTCAGGTGACTTTCACTTCGCCTTTTTTCAAGCTAAATGTAGTCTAGCACGCGGGGTTATTCGACCCACTCGCACGGCGCTTGCGTGGGCTCGACCACGACATAGGTAGGGTTGGTCGCGCCCTTGTTGATGACGATACCGAGGCTCCCAAAGAGCTCGTCCCGTCGCTCGATCGTCACGGGCAGCGACGTCAAATCGACGCGGCGCCGCAGGGCGAGGCGCTTGACCGCGGCGCCGTTGCCGGCGCTGTAGAGCACAATGTAGCAGTCGGACCCGCGCTGGCTCAGACCCGGGCACGCTCGAAAGGACGCGTCGATGTAAAAAAAATTGTAGAGCGAACAGCCGTGCTGGCGGACATAGCCGGCCGAGCGCAGAAACAGCGGCAAGAGCAGGCGCTGCTTCCAGTCGGTCGCACCCACGGTGGTATACCGCGTCGTGACGGCCTTGGCGAAGAGCGCTACGCACAAGCATGAGTCGTTGGGCGTCGATGTCCACGCACCGGTGGCGCCGCCATCGTCGCTCGGCGGAACCTGAAGAAAATACACCAGCGGAAGCGCGGCAAGCAGCAGGTGGAAGAGTAGGAACCCATACACGATTTGAGTCGTACTGGGCTCACTACCGGCGAAAATCATCTCGTAGAGCTGAACGAGGAGGTAGCTCTGGGCTTGGAGGTACGTCAACGGGCCGGTGACAAGCGTCGCAAAGACCGCGAGGACGGTCGGACTCGCCGGGCGGTACCGTGCCTCCCAGTGGTAGCGCTTAAGACCCTTCGAGACGAGCACGAGCGATCCGTATGCAAACCATGCCTAGCATCGTGAGAGTGAGAGTGTGGAGTATAGAGAGACGCGCACCATGCGCGAGAGATACATGCAGCCGAGTGCGGCGTGGTCCAACGCCTGTAACTGGGACACGGCGATCGTTGATGAGCCGACAACGGGCACACTGAGCCAGAGGTCGAGGGCCATCGCCAATGTCAAGAGCGGATCAAGCACAAGCAGCGACGTCGGGTCGCCGACAATCACGTCGCAGCGCCTGGCCGGGAGCCGATAACAGTGCCGGTGCAGCCGCCGAACAGGCTGCAAGTATCGGCGTCCACACAAAAGCGCCATGTACACGGTGAGTGTGAGGCGGAAGGCGAGCATGCCGTAGAGGTAGTCGGGTGTTGGAGCCAAGTGGAACATCTCGTAGACGGTATACGAATCGTTGGCGTCGTCGCTCGCACCGTCAGACATTGGCGTGAACCAGACACAGAGCACCGACGCCCGCAGCGAAAGCATCATATTCTCCTGGCATCCACCAGACGGAGACGAACTGTTCTGGACAAAGGTGCAGACAAGCGACTGGAGCCGAGCCGAGAGGAGGGCGCCCGTGTGGAGCTCGTACAGCTCGCACTTGGCCGACGTGTTGAGGGCACTTCGATAGACGTCCGTGTTGGTCTCGCGATCGTACGCGTAGCTGGCGCCACGTGCGAAGAACGTGTCGTTGTAGCTACCATCTCAGTCGCGGGGATGACGTTGTCGGTAGAGGCGTACCTTGCTCTGGCTGCGGTGAGCCAGAGAGGACTCGCGGCTGCCCACGAGAGCTGCGACGTCTGGGTGGCGACGGCCGGCGGCGAGATAGTCCACGGGAAGGGCTCGTAAATATATGCATCGAGCGGCTAATTGAGGTCGCGTGAGAGACTCGGGACTATTCAGAGAGATACGCATACGGCGAACACGATGTAGAGACTCATGAGGGCGCTGCAGACGACGGACGGTCGGTTCCAGCGGACGTCGATGGGCAGCGGCAGCTGCGGGCCCGCGAACGGCGCGACTCCTGCCATCGCCGCCTGTCTACTTGATTGGTACACGAACGAGTGGGGCAATTATAGCCGATGTGAATTTCGTAACGTTAGCGACTAAATCGAGATGGTTTTAGCTAGCACGTCACATTGGTCGTCGGCGTTGGTAGCCTTCGGGTTGTCGGGTTGGGGTTGCCGTCATTCTCCCGTCCGAACAATGAATGAGATGCCGATCCAACGCAGTGAGCAAGGACGCGCAATTCTCGAGGCATAAATCTCATGTTTAGCTGCGGCAACAAGCCAACCCGCGCGTTTCGTAAAACAAAAGTAGGCAGAAGCCTACCGAGAAGAGCTGGCGAACGCTACCCGCGTCTAGCGACCCAAGGGCATTTGGTCACCGCTGGCCTCATTGTGGTACTAGTACTGGTACCAGTCCTTCGCGTAGACTCGCGGGATATCGCGAGTGCGGTTCACCTTCCACACGGCGTCCCTGCCGTCGGTGTGCACACCACAAGCCCAATTTCTACCAAGTGTCATCCCGCCACGCAAAGCTATATATCTCGGGTATATAAGGTGTATAGCGATTCTGCATATACCTTGCCATTATTGGCAGCGACGACCTGAGCATCGACGCAGCTGGCGATGGCCTTTGAGACAGTCTTGGTAAAAT